CTTTTCACCTGTGCCTGGCTAACAATATAGAAGTTACAATGATGCGGCACATGTGCACTCATGTTACCTTATCCAACAACATAAAACTGACCTTTGGTTTGTACAAAGTAACTTGTCTTGGCTGTGTTTTAGTAGATTAGTATTTTGTAAAATACAGTCACATTTCAAGTATTGTACATTATATATGTATATAGATTATTGCTATTTTAAAATAAGTTCTTAAACTTATTTTTCTTAAAACATAGAATAGTAAATAAAGAAGAATCAAACAAGTGTCTCTTCTAGTTACGACTTTTGTTCTTGGTTGATGCTTGACATAGGTTGCTAAGCCTTTTAAAATTTTCGCACATGGAGGATATGAAATGAAATAATTTTTTAGGTTTTATATATACAGTTGAAAAACCAAAAAATCATATATTACTTTATCAATACCATATAATTCCACTATAATTTATCAAGCTTAGTAACTAAACTGTATTTCAGTTTAAAAAATATATGAAATTTCGAGCAGACTAAACACATAACCTAACTCTTTGAAATCTTGGTTTGAAAGAACGAGATGGCATCCAAACATGTTAAAATAGTTGAGAATGCCATTAGGGGGACATTGTGAGCTTTCGATTGGTTATTCATGTCATGTATAGAAGTAGGTGTATAAGGGAGTGTTTCCAAAAATGATAAGCGATGGGTGGGGTGCCACTGTGTTTGATTCATTACATGAGCAATATCTTTCACATAGAAAAGAGACTCTTATTTTATTTTCTAGTTTGTCAATATTGGTAATTTGAGTTCCTACTTCATACAAAACTATAGACTTAGTATTTTGACATCACAAACATCTAATTTGAACCAGTGCTGCATTGAACATATCACATGACACACAAAAATCGATATTTAACTGTGTTTTTTAATATTTACTTTTAAATTAAGAAATTGAGTAATGTATAATACTAAAATTTGAATTATAATCTACAGTTTGATACCAAACTTATTGACATAAATTCATGAAATAGTAGTTCAATAATATTTTGAATGCGAGTCAACAAACGCAATGACATGGCCTTTCACCCGTGACCCATCTGGAAAGGGTTAACGTGTGCTTCTTCAGTGTATGATGTAATCATCATTAGACTGTAGCCCTCCACCATTAGGAGAGCAACACATCCTCTATGCACTGTAATCCCCATGAGCACCAGCATTTCAACAAAGACTCGTTCTTTCCTTGGCACTGCTTGTATTTGGATGTGTTCCAGATTGTTTCTTTTATTTTGGAATCACTGGATGTTTCCATTGTTTTAATTATTTAACTTTCAGTACTTTTTCTGTAAACTCAATTTACTACTATTATACAACCAAATACGAAAGAAAAAGGTTTTGTGGTTACTTTTGACAATTAATTACCTAATCCATATTTCTGCTGTTGTTTTAGGTCCTAATACTGCATTTCAGGAGCTCACTTCTGCTGTTTCAATGGCATACTCAAGTATGTGCTATTTTATCTTATTCTCTGTAGTTGTTTTTGATGAGTCTTTGGCTACATTGCTGCATGAACCTCCTTTCTCTGACTGTATCTTGTTTTTCCCCTTCAATGATATTTATGTTCATTCTGGTATTGTTCATTATGTTCATTCTCTTAGCTTTAGACTGACCCCCATTTGTTTTGTCCTCCTTGACTTCATGACACTTTTTGTATGACTTATCATCAAGATTCTTCTAATTTCCCTGAGCTTCAGTCCCTTGAGTCTCTTCTTCCAGCTTGGATATCTTCCTCTTGTCTTCATGTTGCTCCTACTAAGCTCCTTCTTATATTTCTCTACACTTCTTCTCTTGGATGGCCTACGTTGCAACTCTGATAGCTTCACTGGGAACATTCACTCCTACCTGTTTACATTCTTGGCCTCATTATCTTCTTATGCAGTGTCACATTAATTTGGTTTCTTTGTTTCTGGGACTTGCTTTGTATGGGTGTCTTACTTTTGAGTGTTTGCCTCTGTTATTTTTATGTCAGGGACCTGTGTATGGCACCCTTTTTTTAAAACAAGATCTTTAGAGGTGTTCCTTAAACTCTGGAAAACTGAACTGAGGCAGTCTTCTCTGATTACTTTGGTTTTCAGATTTTCTCTATCCAGGGAGTTGCAACAGGTTTATTGTTCTTAGGCATCTCATTAGTATGCCCCCTCTCCTCTTCTTTTTCATCTTTTTTTTGATATCTCCACTTTAAAAGTACTGGCCATTGCATATAATGGAGGTGACTTGTTTCTGGAAATGCCTCTTAAGCTCTGATCTGCACATCTATAGATTCTCTTTGTAGGCAACCTTTGGATTACACAAGTTCTTTCTCATGAACTTGCTCTGTCTCTTAACACTCAATCTCCTTTTTCTCCTCTCTGCTTTTCTTTCCACCCTCCTTAGCTTTTGTATGTCTTTGGCACCTAACGTAAGCTGTGTCTTTTCTTCAGGCTACAAATGCCTTAAAATGAGTCCTCAGCCCCTCTCAGAGTGTTTACTTGTGTCATTTTTGTTATACTTAAGAAGACAAGGAGAGTAGCAACCTGTAAGAAATATCTTGTTCATGAACCAATTTCTTGTCATCTTAAGTTCAAGATGGATGGTTTTCTGAATATGAGGTTGGTGTTCTTTCCCAGGCTGTGGATGACCAAAGTTGATGTTTTGGATACTTTTCTCCTCATTCTGATTTCTCTGTTCACCCATCACTTTTTCAAGTTCATCTACTGTAATTGGGTTTTTCAGTTCCAGGCTCTTCTCTTTGAGTTACCAATGGCCCATATGTTTTCATTTAGGTCATGAGAGCATTTCCATGGAGGATGCATTTATTGAGTCTCCATTTCCAATATTATATGAATGACTGGCTCTGTCCAAAGAAGTATCCATGGCTGTGACCTCACTTCTACTTTAGGAGGCATCTCATTTGGATTAGCTGACCAAGTTCTCCAAGTCCATCTTGACCCCCACACTGTATTTGATTCACTTGGGAGTCTTTTACAACTTGGTTGCAGGGTGGTTTAACAAAGCTCTCAATCTCTTCCTGCACAAGAGGATGTATTCTCTTTTGGTGACTCTGCCTTTGCTCAAGTCCTTTGTTCTTCTCAGACAAGACTATATGTATCCCCTTCAGTGGAACCTGGTAGATCAATGGAATATGTCCAGAGATTCCTTGTCATCTCTTGTATTTCTACCTCCATATTTTCTTCTCTGGCTGTTGTGGCTCGATCAGTTCCACATGACACTGGTAATCCCTCTTCCCCCACCTCTACTCCTTTTACAGGGTATGATTGGGGGAGGGGGTGCAATCCCTTATATCTATGTCCTCAAAATGTTGACTGCTCATCGAGCTTTCCATTATTTTCAGTTTCATCCATGTTGTCAGCTGGTCATACCCTGGTAGCTTGAAACCTGGTGGCAGATCAACTGTCTTGCCTCCATCTTCTTGCATTTCAGTGATTTGTTTCCCCTTAGGGAGTCCTCTAATGAATGCCTTTGCAACTTCCCTCAACACCAAACTTCTGTTATTGTCACCAATCTTACTTCAGCTCTGGCAGTATATGCTCTGAGCCAGGATTAGACCAGTCTCTTTCTTTATGCCTATCTCCTTATTCCTTTTTGACTTCTTCCCAGGGTTCTATCTCTTATTTGGGACACCTTTTACTGGATTATAAATAACAGCTGCATTTAATAAAATAATTGTTAAAGATAGCAGCTACATCTAATGAAATAATAGTTAAGGATACCTTCTTCATCAAGTGAAATAATGGTTAAGGATACTAGCTACATGTAATAAAATAATTCTTAAGGAATTTTAAATGGGACAATAGCTGGAATTTTCCTTGACCTAATAAAAAGGTTTTTGGATGTAATTATTGTGATATTTGTAATAAATCAGTGAGTATTGGTGAAATGTGTGAATTTCTAAACTCCAGTGTAAGATGGACTCCAATTATGTAAGTGGTTGACTGCCCTTTCTTTCTTATTGGAATAAATTTCTAATAATGAAATAATTACCTAATGTGGACTTGGACCTTTAATTTTTTGGTGGTTATGGTTTATTAGTTCATATGAGTGAAATAATTTTCTTTGCTGATGATATTGATATTTTATTTCTCTTCAAAATAAGTATATGTAAATGTAAGATTAATTAAAACATCTCATTGTTAACAAAGTTGGTTTTTAAGTCAATAAACTTAATTATATCACCAAAAATCAAGACAAAAACAATCAGGAAATCAAAGATTTTAGAAATAATATTATTATTCGGTGAAACATTAACCTGTAAAGAAAATTGGTTTCATGTAAAGAAGAAAATTACACATTCTACTGGAATTTTAAAGTACTAGACACCTATTGTTTTAATCAAAATTAAGATTACTGTACAATTCACTTGTATTAACTTGTTATCTGTTGAACTGAGTTGTACTAAACAGAATGAAATATAACAGATAGAAATTGTTTGTAAAAGTGAAATAAGAAGTATTTGTAATACAAAATGTGGTATTCATCTTCAGTATTTATTTATTCATTTTGAAGTACTTTTTTTTGTAGAGTTGTTGAACAAGTTAGCAATGTTTATAAAACTTATTTACAAGCACTACAATATATTTCAAAATAATGAAATAACTCTATATTTATTAAGTAATCTTTTCATTTATTTTTGTATCATAAAACAATTAAAATTACTGGATCGAACAGATGAAATAAATTACTAGAACCAGTTAGAAATATCCAATCAAACTATGTTTGAAAAATTATAAGACTGCTATTTAAGTGTAGTGTAGTTGCTTTTTTTCCTGCAGATAAAAGGCTTAAAGGCCTATAGTGTAGTATGTTTATGTATGTCAATTTGGAGAAATAAGTTTTTTATTTTTGTGTTTTAAATGTAACGTAGTTTTCTAATTACAAGATATAATATTGTAAAACATTGTTTTTTCCTTGATGTGATTAGTTATTAGATATGAAATTGTTTTTTTTCCTCTCTCTTTTATCAGAACAAATTGAATGCTACAGATGTTGACTCCAAAGGATCAAACAAAAAAGAATGACTTCAGCATTACCTGTAGAAAACTAAATGAGTTAAACCTCCATCCAAATGTTCTACTTTAATTCTTTCTAGTTTCAAAGACCGAGATATTTCAATAAATTTTAATTCATCATTCAACCTGGAGTTGTAATGAAGCCTGATGCACTGAAGAAGAAAAGCCCCAGGAAAATAGGGAAGCAACTCCAGTATTCTAAAGCAGCTTTGTTTGTCCGCAAACCACAAGTGTGTGTCCCTGAAATAAATCTAAAATTTTAATACAAAACAAAGACTTTTTCCACTAAAAACTGAAAATATACCTGTACTTCATTCAAATTCACACTCATCATACAAATATGAAGTAGTATTTAGTTTTAATAAAAATCTTTCAAAACCTTTCTGTTCTTCAGTAAGCCCACACATGAGTTATTGATAGTGAATATTTTAATGAACAACAAAATAGTTAAAAATTAATTTCATACTTCAGTATGTTACACACAGTTCACAAGTATCATGTAGTAAATAAACAGCAAAAAACAGTTATAAAGGTACCCTGAACTTCATTAAATCTACCCTAAGCTTTTAAAAATAAGGTAGTAATAATAATTTTTAGTAAGTAAAAAATGACAAAATGTACCTTTATTATTCAACAACTCAGAAACAATAATAGTTTAGTCAAATCATTTCAAGGTTCTTTTAGGTGAACAGTAACACTACAGTTTTCAATAGTTATTTAACTTCACTTCATGTGTTCCATATTTTGAAAACTAGCTTGTAAGTAAAGAAAATAGTTTTGATAAAAGTCATATCATGAACTGTATCAGACTTGTTTCCATTGGTATTTCCAAATTCAACACTTTGTCACTGACCAACAGACAGCATTACCACAAATTCTCCCCCAAAACTTGTTAATTATGAAAAAACACAGCCTTACTTCAAATGTGGCACATTGCTCCACAGTGATTTGTTAGTTATGAGAATCACATTTAACTATGAACACAAACTGAAAATCTATGAAGAAAAGATCATAATTTAATAATTTGTGTTTATTGTCAGCCCACAACTCTGAAATTCCAAAATTAACATGAGAAAAGCTACATAATCTTGAAAAATCCAAATTCCTTCAGTGAGATGGTGTAATGGATTTATTCAACAGAATAGCTTATTTCATATCAAACATGCTTTTATGATTGTCACGTTTATGTAATTCAAAGTGCAAACTGAATTATTAAAAATGCTCTTTACGATGAATTATTTTTTACTAAGTTTGGGTATAATGAAGATACCTTCTCAGTTTGTAGAGTGTCCAATGTAGTTTTCTCCAATGGATGCTGTGGTTGCTTGAATCACTTTGGAAACAATAAAACTAGCTTGCTTGATCACCATTTCTTCAGAATGAAGGATAAAGGGTTAAATAATATTGTATTATTAATCTTTACCCTAATTCTGATTTGTGACTTGCAAAAAATTGTTAAAAATTACACTTCATCTAATTAATCTGTTAATCTTTACCCTAATTTGTTTCGTTTTTCATGATCTTAATATTAAAAATTTGAATTTTTCTGCTTCTGTTTATTGTGAAGTTATATTGTATTTTAGCATTGTCATAACAACTAGTGTTTGTGATTCTGTAAGTAAAGTATATTATATTCTTTTAATGTTACTTTCAATGATAGTATTAGTTAGAATGTTTAATATATCTAATTTTTTATTATTATTCTTTATATTATATTGAATTATTAACTTAATATATGAATTTAGTACTGATCTAAATATCCTAAGCTGGCCAAATCTTCTGAAACATTTTATTGGATATATTGTCAACAATTTCATTAGCAGTGAGGGTACCCCAACTGATGAACCAATACATTCTGTTCTTTATAATTAAGAACAGCATATTTAATTGTCTATATTCATTTATTTTTTGTTTTTAATCTAAGTAGGTAGCCTGCTCTGATCAAAAGATAATAGTTATTAATATTCACTTTGTTGTATTCAGGTACATTGATGCCCCACAGGTAGCCAAAAGTTTCCATAATACATATTACAGAAATTTTATGCAGATAGAAACAGCAAAACAAATACAAGTGACCAATCAACAATCTTTATTCACCAAGTAGTTTTGTGTATTTTACCTGCTGGATGACTTACAGGTTTCCATTGTGACTTTGCTGGCTTCCAGGACTTGAGAAGGATTTTTTAACATATTCTTACGTGACAAGGACAGCAAGAATTATACTGCACTTTCATGTCAAACAACAGATCAAAGTGTGGTATCCCATAATCCACAGGTCACCTATGTTGCAGAATATTTCAAATAATATATTCAAAGCAAAGAACCCTTAACTCATCCAAATTTGTACAAGAATCTATATCAACTTTTGAGATGTGCTTGTCCAACCCCTGGAAGAGAACACAGAGAGAACATGATACAAGCTTCTGTGAGATAGCAGTTGTTGTATGTAACCTTTACTTAAGCAAAAGGATTGGCACATGTTTATAATCTTTCAATGTCCAATTAACAAAAATGTCATAACTAGATGCAGAACATACATGAAATTTTAGAAAAATTACTACATATTGTAAAATGGGTGTGGAAAGGTGAAATTATACATTATTTCAATTGTGAAACTATAGAGGTATGTATAACTATCAAGTTGTTGTTGTTGAAAATGGTATTCCTGCCTAGACTTGTTGTCACTGTGGATTAGTCTAAATGGGATGAACAACAGTTTAAAATGACAGGTATCAAATAAATCTAAAGCCCAGAAGAATAAATTTGTTTACATTAACAATTTTCCATGATAGAAAGCCCAGTACTTTTCAATATTCTTTAACATCACACCTGATTATTAACCAGTCTTCCTCTCCGCTAGGCCCAGCATGACTAGGTGGTTAGGGTGCTTGACTTGTAATCTGAGGGTCACTGGTTCGAATCCTTGTCACATCAAACATGCTCGTCTTTTCAGCCATGTGGGGCATTATATTGTGATGGTCAATCCCACTATTCATTGGTAAAAGAGTAGCCCAAGAGTTGGTGGTGGATGGTGATGACTAGCTGCCTTCCCTCTACTCTTTCACTGCTAAATTAGGAACGGCTAGTGCAGATAGCCCTCATGTAGCTTTGCATGAGATTCAAAACAAACAAACCAAACCTCTCCACTAGTTTTGGAATGTTTTTTAGTAGTGCTACTTAAATTTTATTTGAGAGACAATTTATACATACTGAATTCATTAAAATGACTAATCATTTTTCAGAATCCTGAGTAATGTTTACATGAAATGAAACATTAAAAATACAATGCACTCTGAAAACAGTTGACCTGGCTATTGTATGGAGGTGCTAGCCTCAGTTAGACTTCCAACAGACATTTAGTGCAGACTAGATAGACATAAAGAGGAGTGGCAGTCACTGTTTAACTCTGTGGTTTTGTTGGTAAGGTTTTATAAAAACAAACCCATTTAAATATTGCTGAAAGTGGTCTCAGAGACTTAAAATATGACTAATACAGTCATGTAGGTTCTGGCTTGAGTCTCCATCAAAAGAATTGCATTGTTAAGATACTGTGTTTCTTTTACTTACAGTTTTGTTCTATTAGAATAGTTAGAGGCTTAAATGTTGCCTCTTTGTAATATATTCGTATTAGGAGATATTTTTTGGTGAACTTTATTGCCAGGTTTGGTACCATATTTAAGATCAAAACAGAAGTTTAGAGGCTAAGTGATGCTTTTCTTCAAACATCTATAATACAAGACATTCAATGTAGTCTCAGGGACTGGTAGAATTAGTAAAATAGACCAATGAACATGTGTTTCTAGACTATGAAAATAAAGCGTAGCTGCTTAATTTATCAAACTATAGATTGATAGCTTACTCCAACACAGTAGAAACTTGTCAAAGTATGTTTTCAAGGTAATGGAGTCTGTGAGTAGCATGGAATCTGCATGCTCAGGTGTGATCTTTAGCAGCCAAATAATAGAGGCTACTGGTGGCACTGCTAAGGCATCAAATCAACATGCTCAGGTTTGATCTTTAGCAGTCAGGTAATGGATTCTCTGGTGGCACTGCTGAGGCATTGAATCAACATGCTCAGGTTTGATCTTTAGCAGTCAGGTAATGGATTCTCCTGGTGGCACTGCTGAGGCATTGAATCAACATGCTCAGATTTGATCTTTAGCAGTCAGGTAATGGATTCTACTGGTGGCACTGCTGAGGCATTGAATCAACATGCTCAGGTTTGATCTTTAGCAGCCAGGTAATGGATTCTACTAGTGGCACTGCTGAGGCATTGAATCAA